TAATTTCTTCTGTTTTAACTGCTGCAAAGCGTAAATATGTCTTTATTAGGTCATCCTTGCGTTTTCTGTTTTCCTAATGTCAGCGATGGACAGTCTACTAGCCTGAGTCCGGAGAAGAAAAGGCAATAAATTCACTGAAATTCTGTTGCTTATTTGGAAAATTAATTAACGCTGGCTATTAGATCTAAAGCGGTGACTATTGACGAATATTCGTCACTATTCGCCACTTTTCGCGACTGTTCGCCACTAATTGTACTATTTGAGACTATTCGCACTATTTGGTACTATTCGCTATTCGTGACTATTCGCTATTTGCTATTCGGGTTTTCCAGACATCCATAAGAAACTTCATCTGGGACCTGCATAGCTGGGTGACATATCTTCCTTATCCTTACTATAGCTAGTGAGGGTCTATGTCCTCACTAGTAAGGATACTGATGACATAATTTCCCACTTTCTGATGGTTGATTGTACAAATAGTCAGTTTGTCTACATAATAAAGAGCAAATTACATAGTGGCTTAAAAATATTAATTTGAATTTTGAGTGTTATGAAACAATAAAATTTTTAATCCCAGACAGCTGCACTCGTTTGTAAAATTTTTGTTTTACCTCTTGAATATAAAATTTATATCTTTGCACCACCATGTAATATTCTCTGTAAATTTTATTTTTGACAAAAACCTATGTTTATAATGATGTAATTATGTAAAGGACACTCACACTTTTTTGAACAGGAATGCTCTTCCAGTTGCTCCATTAAACCTCTGATCATCAAAATATCAAAAAAAGCATTAGTTTTACCTGTCCAAGAAAAGGCTTGATTAAAATCAGGAATAGACTTCTGGGCATTTAACAAGAAAGTGGAGCCATCAAAGGAAAAGCGTCAATGTTGAGAAGAAAGTAGATCTGTGATAGATGGCATGCACAGAATCCCTTTTATATACGGTTTGAAACTCTCCTGGTGGTAAACTACCCTTTGATCAGTTTTCAATTAGCGACCCATTATTGCGCAGAATTCAATTGCATGCATGTAATTAGCGGCACTACAATGTCAATTATTAGACACCCAATGAAATTCTGTTCATTTTAAAAGAAATTAGTCTTCAAGCTTATGTTAATGAAACTTATGTAAAGTACATCTCAATATAGGTATTAAGTTACCTTGAAAACAAATCAAGCGATCTTTGTTTACTCTCTTTTTCCCATCGATTCTCGAATGTATTAAAGTAAGCCAAGGAGCAATCTGTATCATTTATTCCACAACATACTTCTTGGCACAAAAACTGGCCTAAGATACTCAGCAGGATGTCCACTATTTATTATTCGCATACGTACCATGGATGTTAACTCCGATCGATTCGTCAAAGCAGTGTCGCAGTTCGCACAAGAATAAAGTGTAGTTCCACCGGGATGATCAAGAAATATACGACCCATGTTTTGAGTTCAGTTCGATAGGAATGGGACACACAAAACTGAAAAATTGACGACAAACACAGAAACCGAAGTATTTACCGCGAACTTCAATCTTTCCGGACCGTTCTTTGTTTTGGTTTTCAAGTCACGTGACGACTAACTGGATACTAAGAATATACGAGACACCATTGGTTACAAACGATTGATGATGTCACCTTTAGACAAATTGCCTTCCGGCATGCCGTATGCACGCGGGTTGTACATGTAGGGGCTAGCACTGCTTATGGAGTTTTTCCAACTTCGTGTCATTTTATTTTTTACACCAATCACCTGGTAAATCAATGAAGGAATTTTCAGTCATACCCCACCACGGGGCAACCCTACCTACGGCTAACGTATCAGCTTTGAATGCAGAAAATTTGGCATGTCGCTACGACTGCCAACTATCTACGTATTCTTTGCATTTCTTTCGTAGGTCATCGCTCAGAGAAGAAGTGGAAAACCTCTCTCGAAAAGCATATAGCTCTTTTAGGACTTTTTGTTTTTAAAGGTCCCGGAGGCCGGTCCCGGAAGTTTCAGAGAGTCCTGACATCATCATGTCCGCCAATCATACCAGCTTAATGATCACGTGACTAAGAGACCAAAATATACAAGAAGGTTCAGTTCGCGGTAGGAAGATTTTCGCTCTGTGTTTGTTTACAAGTATCATAAGTATATCTTTTAATTTTCCGCTCTCATTTTCGTCAAGAAAGGAAGCTCAGGACATGGGTCGTATCTTTCTTCATCACCCTGGTGGGGCTAGACTGTATTCTTGCGCAAACTGTGACACTGCTTTGACGAATCGATCGCAACTCACATCCATGGTAAGCTAGTTACAGGACGAATGAATATATAGGATCGAGTTCTTCCGTTTAATCTGTTTTGCCAGGCTAAATGATGTAGACTTACAAGATAGGTAGAAGAACCTGTGTAGAGAATGAATTAAACAAGTAACATCTCTTTTTCGCTTGAATTCTTTGAACATTAAGCTTAAATTTCGAAGTAAGCTTATTAAAATGCCTGGCATGAATGGCCTTATCATTATTATATGTCCTTCCTTTGATACTCAGAGGAACGATATTTCATTGGCTGCCCTTTAATTAACATTATCATTTTCCTTTTATTGGTATACACTCTGTATTAGTATACAGTTCTGCCAATTGGAATATAACAGAGCTATATGTTACATCTCTAACGTAAATCACCATGTACATAGTTTGGGGTTGCGTTTCATTCTTCTAACCGGAAAATTTCAGAGTGGTTGTCGTAGACCTTTTACTGATATTGTTTTCTCTAACATAATCATGATCTATATTGAAATATCAGTTAATTTTGTATTACATGTAAATATAGGAGCAGAACATAAGCCAAGTATTTTCATAATAATATTATAATTTCTCTCTTTCTGAGACTGAACTATAGATAGGAAGTCTATCTATTGAGACATGCTTAGGCAAGTTTTTTAGTGTCTGGTTATACATGAAGATAAACCAGTATATCTAAGAGATGAACTTGGCAGAGATGGACAACCTTTTGCATGCATATAGACAATTTATCAAAAATGACATTCAAATTACCTGCTTTATAAGTATATGGCTTAGAAAATTACTTCATTGTAATTGGCTGAGAGCAGGCAAATTTATCATTAATTTTTAATGTTTGCACTGCAGTGCAAATTAATACAGGGCTGTCTGTAATTTTTTAGTGATATATAAGAAATGAGTTATACATGGATGTTCAACTATAAAAAAAAATAAGGTCTTGCACTCTGAGTGTTATTTCAAAAGTTTTCAAATTGCACTCACCTAAAGACTGAATCATTTGTAAGTCAAATCAACTGAATAATTCTTAAATTATTTCACTTGTATATTTCATATGATTACCAACCTATAATTAGGTGTCTGAATGGTTATATGCATCTCAGTGTAAGATGGTACAGAAAGATAATGCAAAAACACAAACTACATGTATGTGGTTTTTCTTGTACATCTTGAATGACAAACTGGGGATTTGCAGGATCTGATAGTGCATGTCTTATCTATACTAGATGTGTAAAAGGGTAGACACATTATTTTTGCAGACTTAGTTCGGAAGGTTTTATACAAGATGAATAAAACAGCAGATGCATAATTATTGCAGACATATTTTGGATCTGACTGCTAGTGTATAAAAATTAGGATTAATAATTTGGAGAGAAACGCCTCCTGCTTTCTGTGCTCTCTCACAAATTCTATACATCTTTCATTTATCCCAGACTCCCAAATTATGTACTAAGTGCCTGCAGAAAAGGTCAGAACACACTCGTGTAATGTTTCCAGTTTTTTATTTTCCTAAGATTAACTTGAATTTCAGGAAATTTGGGGAAAAATTGGATGCTCAGGGCTATTGGCCAAGATTGTGACAGGCCAAGGAATGTTTGTTCAGATAAATCAAAATGGGTACATGCTTGCCCAGTCTCTGAGAAACTTTGATTTATTCAGTTACTCCGAGACTGGGAACGCATGTAGCCCATAATTAACACACATAGCCAACTTGAGCTCTAATTTGGACAATTTGGAAAATCAACAGCTAATGATTTTAATTAAATTAATTATACCCTTACCTAATGTTTCTTACTTGAGTCCTGTTTTTGACTAACAGAAATTTACTGGAGCTACTGGGAGAGCATTTCTATTCAAGAAAGTGTGAGTGTCTATTGAAAATGTGATATAATGATAATAATAATAATAAACTTTATTACCGTGTCTAAAATGTTTAGCTGAGGGGTAGTGTCCCCTCTACTAATTGTGTACACCTACCTAAAAAAATTACAACTATGCATATGCATAACAACATGTATACATGGGTACCAGTGAATGCTGGTGAGAGTGGTTAACCTTGTTAGTCCTATCCAAGGGGGAGAAGGAGTAAAGATACTTCAAGTTACTTAATGCTGTGCAACCCAGAATATGCTATGGCATGAAGGGATACTTTGGGCCAGCAGAGGCCTCTTTTATTGTTTTACCACCCTCTCTGTCTTTTTGAAAGGTCTTTAGCCTGCTTGTAAAGATCTTTGCTCAATAAATTCACTCCTGGTGTGGCAAAGTCTCAACAGACTTATAGCAGCATCTTATTAACTTTTCCCAGGCAAGCTTTTGTTGTCAAATATTTGCCTTGAAGCCAAAAGTTGTTGTGTTAATCTTGTCAAATCCAGCCCATTTAGTGCTGACCAGTGCCAAGAAGATAAGTACTCAAGGCTATCTCAGTCAGCAGTCTTGCTCTAATCCTCAAGTTAGTGAGAAAATAACTGAGGGTTAAGTTTTTGAGTTATTGTTTTGTAAAAAAAAATATCTCTTACCTACTAAAAAAAATACCTCTTAGTCTCACCTCTTAGTCTAGAGCTGACAAGTTATCAGATATTGTTCCCAGGATATTAAACAAAAAAGAAGCTTTCATTTCTGGACAGTTTTTATGTCCCTGCAGTAGCAGTTTAATATTTTTATTTGATGGGCATTTTATGACATTCTTTTCAGTCTGGTATTTTTGAAGGTAAAAAGTATGAAAATTGTTCAAATGTACTTTGAAGACTGCGTGACACCAAGTTAAAGTGCAATTTAATTAAATCAGACTTTCAGCGTGTCAGAGAGGTTTTTTTTTTCTCTTCCTTTCTATTTTCGGTGAAGTAGTGGTGTTGTGTTGTGTTGTGTTGTGTAAAAAAGGTGAACTTATGACTCGTATAAAATGCAAAAACTTCTCTGAACTCGAGTATTTTTGAGCAAAAATCCCTCTTGGGGGCTGGAAGGACTATGTGATCGGTGAGTGAGGGAGTTATGCATGTGTACGTGTCACACCAATAACAGTGTGGGTTGTATCAAAGAATGAATCAAATTGCCTGTTAGAAAATAAGATGGTACCTACATTAATCTGGAGACGTGTTTGATTACTGTAGTTTGTTCAGTCAAACATTTTATGGCTTACTATTTAGGTATCTTACCATTACCGATGTAACATTGTATGTACATCATAAATTTCCAGTTTCTTTCTTGCTGTACATCGCAACCAAAAACACTTGTCAAATTAACCAAACCATTACTGTAAACAGTTCCATGAATGCTCCTATCTCCAAGACGTTTAGTTCACCAAAAAATATCTCTTGCAGGCCTTGCGTACCTATGTTTGTTTACAGGCTTTAGTTGTGTTCCCCCTAGTGACGTCATTGTGGTGTTGTTTACATTGTCATTGCATTACTTCATGTTGCTTTTTCTTTACTTTCATGCAATGTCTACGTTTTTATCTGTGGTATAGGGTGAATTTATCATACAGTGAAGTCCAAGATAGAGTGATGGTATGTGTTGATAAATTTATTATATATGCAGTTTAAAATTTGATATGGTTTAATTTTCCTTTATGTCATGTTCTGTCAATGAAAATGACATGCTCAGGAAAATGAAAACCAAAATTTTAACTGGCATAACATAGATAGTTTTAGTTGTTTGTGCAAACAAGAATCACAAGGTTATTATCATTACAATTAACTGTCACTCCCTCTAGATAAAATTTTGCACAGAAAATTTTGTCCAGAAAAGCTGGAGAAAAAATAATATTATATAATATTTATTTTCTTGAAAGTTATTGATATTAAGCATTGAAAATAATCCAATTTGGCTGCTATAAGTGGACACCTCTCCTTAGTGAACAGCTGTTTTTTTGCATCTGCTGACGGGAGATTTGACTGTAATTCTATTTTGTAGCTTACTGGGAGGCACATGGTGCGGGATGTCTTCTGCAAGAACTGCGATACAAAACTGGGCTGGATGTATGTAAGTGTCAAGGTTACCATTTATTAAAAAAATGTTTGATGTGCTTGTCCTAGCATTTTGTTAGGTTTTCCAAATAATGTGCACTTCCATATTATTTGTACACTAGGGAATTTAAAATAATTAAAAAAGTGTTCTGTCTGAGAATGTAGGCTTCGACATCCTGGAGGCTAACACACTAACTCTTAGGCCTCTGCCCCTTCTAAGTTGTAGCTAAGTGACATACTTTTGATTTCTTATACTTTACCTGTTGGTGGGAAATACTCAATGTGCATGTTCTGTTTGTTTATGATGCAGGAGTATGCAACAGAAGAGTCCCAACAATATAAGGTGTGTATTACTGGTATATCTAACATTGTAATTTATGATTGTCCCAATTATTATAATATAATAATAATGATAATAATTAATAACAATAATGATAATGGTGACAATTTTTTAAATAGAGTTCTGTGTGTCATTAGATTTGCCAAGTAATAAAGCAATACTCATATACCTTCTTTATACCTGCATTTAGGAAGGGCAAGTGATTCTAGAACGTGCACTGGTGACAGAGAGTGAAGGCATTGAAGAAATTGGTGACTAATAATTTCATTCTGTTGTGTTTTAAGAACACGTTAACATTTTGTAACTAGTGATAAATTTGTGTGGCACATGGAGAAATAGACAACTGTCTGGTAAAGCAGTATTTCAATTTTGAATAATGAATTTCTTTTTTGAAATCAACATTTCACATGACTGAAATGATGTTTGCTTGTGGATTGTAACTTTAAAAAAGTCACTCAAGTCTGTTAGTAACTAAGCAGCTGCTAAGCTCCTTCAATCTGTAGTTATCCATTCAGTCTGACTGGAATATTTTGGTTGATTGAGACAGTTGCTTCTTTTGTAATTGTGCCAATATATAAAGACTGTAAATATTTTAGATAGAATATATTGCTAACAGCATCAATAATTATTAGCCCTCTTGTATATTTTGTTCACTATTGCACGTTAAAATGCTGCTTAATGTACCAAAATTTAGTTTAAGATTCGGGGCTTCATATATTTAATGACATTTTTATATCAAGGAATAGCAAAGTAAGGGAATGTATAAGTAAAGAAATGTGCTTGTAGATTTTGTTGGTATAAAGTGACTGTAAGTTGTTTCATAGTATTTAACACATCAAGGAATTAATATAATTATAGATTTCTTAACCAAATTCATTGAATACTTGTAGTTTCTGTTGTCTTTGTCCCATCAAAACCAGTGCCCTTTGTCCTCTGAACTTAATATTTTTGAGATCAGTCAGCTAAGGATTCTTCACCCATATTATGACAGCTGTAAGTATTGCATATCAAAGTTTAAGGCATAGAATGTATTTATTTAACTTATGTATGTCCCAACCTAGCAGTGTAAAGCCACACAGTCATGGTAACAAGATGTTGTGGTCCTCTATCTGTGTCACACAGTGATCTACAATCCTGAGAGCGTAGTGTTGTGTCTTAGACTTTTTTCATTCCAAGGTTGCTAAGAAACTGATTGCAATATGGTGATCTCATTACTGACTGGAAGTACACTCAGTGATCACGCTGACTGGATTGAAAAAAACTGAAACTGAAAAGTGCTTGAATTTATCGAAATCCTTGGCGTGTTGCCATGATTGTGTTTATAAACTGGTACATTCAAACTACATTGTCCACAGACCATACTTGTTCTCACTTAATTCTAATGTCGGCATAATATGCATCATGACCAAGCTCTAAATGACTGTATTTTGTAAACTTATAAATTCAGCAGGGGATATAATTTTTTAGTGAAGGCCAGTAGACTTTTGAATAGTTCCTCTACTTTTCCCTGGTTGATTACTGAGAAACAAATCTCTGTAGAAGAGAAGACTAAAGTAATTACTAGACCGGAAATATCACAATGTACAGATAAACTGTTTACAGTCTTTTTTGATAACAGTAACTATTGAATTCTTGGTGTCTCATGTATCGAACAATGGAAATAAAGTGGGCCTGATGAAATGAACTTTTGTTTTCAGTCTCTGCATTCAATTTAGCCGTAGTTCACATCATAGTTCATGCCTTTTCTAGTACAGAAACCAGTAGATAGGAACGCAGGGATACAACTAGGGTGTCGATTGGATACTTTATTTATTTATTTATTTATTTATTTATTAAGCTTCGGCCTACTATTACACATAAAGAAAAAGAAAAAGAAGAGGAAGCAAAACAAAAAACAAAAAAAAACAGACAGACAGCAAAACAAAACAAAATGGCCAGGGGAGCCGCTACAGCTTAGCCAATTACAGCAGC